TGTCAACAGAGCTCCTGGATAACTTAGATATAGCCTACCAGAAAATATTAGGGATGTCCCGATATAATTTTTTCTGAACCGATCTAATCCGATACCAAAAATTCTGAGTATCAACCGATACCGGTCCAATACCAGCGCAGTTTTTTTTTTAAATCAAGTATAATTTCTATAACTCTGTGTGTTGAACTGATAATCACTCTTTTGTGTGTTAAACACAATCTACTTAATACAGACAACTTCATTTTAAATAAAAACAACAAATCAAAAAAAAATATATATGATCATAACCTATGACAAAAATTATATTATAAACTACACTCACCGGCCACTTTATTAGGTACACCTGTCCAACTGCTCGTTAACACTTAATTTCTAAGCAGCCAATCACATGGCGGCAACTCAGTGCATTTAGGCGTGTAGACATGGTCAAGACAATCTCCTGCAGTTCAAACCGAGCATCAGTATGGGGAAGAAAGGTGATTTGAGTGACTTTGAACGTGGCATGATTGTTGGTGCCAGAAGGGCTGGTCTGAGTATTTCAGAAACTGCTAATCTACTGGGATTTTCACGCACATCCATCTCTAGGGTTTACAGAGAATGGTCCGAAAAAGAAAAAACATCCAGTGAGCGGCAGTTCTGTGGGCGGAAATGCCTTGTTGATGCCAGAGGTCAGAGGAGAATGGCCAGACTGGTTCGAGCTGATAGAAGGGCAACAGTGACTGAAATAACCACTCGTTACAACCGAGGTATGCAGCAAAGCATTTGTGAAGCCACAACACGCACAACCTTGAGGCGGATGGGCTACAACAGCAGAAGACTCCACCGGGTACCACTCATCTCCACTACAAATAGGAAAAAGAGGCTACAATTTGCAAGAGCTCACCAAAATTGAACAGTTGAAGACTGGAAAAATGTTGCCTGGTCTGATGAGTCTCGATTTCTGTTGAGACATTCAGATGTTAGAGTCAGAATTTGGGGTAAACAGAATGAGAACATGGAACCATCATGCCTTGTTACCACTGTGCAGGCTGGTGGTGGTGGTGTAATGGTGTGGGGGATGTTTTCCTGGCACACTTTAGGCCCCTTAGTGCCAATTGGGCATCGTTTAAATGCCACGGCCTACCTGAGCATTGTTTCTGACCATGTCCATCCCTTTATGGCCACCATGTACCCATCCTCTGATGGCTACTTCCACCATGTCACAAAGCTCTAATCATTTCAAATTGGTTTCTTGAACATGACAATGAGTTCACTGTACTAAAATGGCCTCCACAGTCACCAGATCTCAACCCAATAGAGCATCTTTGGGATGTGGTGGAACGGGAGATTCGCATCATGGATGTGCAGCCGACAAATCTGCGGCAACTGTGTGATGCCATCATGTCAATATGGACCAAACTCCCTGAGGAATGCTTCCAGCACCTTGTTGAATCTATGCCACGAAGAATTGAGGCAGTTCTGAAGGCAAAAGGGGGTCCAACCCGTTACTAGCATGGGGTACCTAATAAAGTGGCCGGTGAGTGTAGATTAGTGGATAACTCAGTAAAATTTAGTCTAGAAAAACAATAATTGTATAAAATATGAACATTTAGTGAAAAAAAAACATTATTTAGTGGGGAACAAAGAGACAATAAGTGTAGCACTAAATCAGGTAAAATGTTACACATTGCTCTTTGTATAGTTGTAAAATACATTCATGAAAAACAAGATAAAAATCAGAAAGATCAATTATTATATATAGTCTACTATAAAATTAAGACATTTTTAAATGTATAGCAGAGCTGTTTAATGAGGCAGCAACATATGATAGATAGGACAGAACAGAACAAAAAAAGCTATTAATAATCTTTCATTGCGCAAAAGTATTATGATATAATTATGAAAGACTCATGTGCGGCACACAGCGCTTATGTGCATCTCGAGTGCAGAATGATGCGCTTGATGTCACGAACCACACCAGGAAACACAGGAGAAGATCCAATTGCAGAAAGTATGTTTAATTAGGGAAATCCGTTACTCAAAATCCAGTCCAGGCAATAGTCGATATATCATAATCCATCCAAAACAAGAACATAAACAGGAACACAGAAGTGGCGTGATAAATACAAGGACTCCGTGACACATACTAAAACAGACAGGGTATATATACACAGGGAAATGACAATGATAATGGGGAACAGGCTGAGTGCAATGATCAGTGATAAGAGACAGCTTAGTGCAATGAAAAGACAAGGATCATGGGGGATGTAGTTCAAGAGTGTGATGGACACCGTGGGGAAGGAGGACATCTAGTGGTGACCCAAGGAACATAAACCAGACACTGTGACACTTGAAGCAACACAGAGTCACAGCGCGCAGAAAAGTTCAAAGCACAAAGGAAAGGCATATCGATGCATAATGTATTATACAGTAACAGTATCTATCTATGCAATAGTTTATTGAGCCTTTTCTTTTAACAGTTTTAAATTTCAGTTAATGTGCGCGTGAAGAACAATTATAGTGCTCTCCAGTGTTGTGATCTAACACCAAACAGTCCTGCAAGATCAGTCATTTTATGCGAAACCATAGAGCTTTATCTACCTATAAAGTATAATAATAGTAACATTGAATCATCTTGGAGAGAGTTTCATCGTTGACTGTCGTAACCAAACGCAACGCGCTGTTTGATGCTGAATGGAGAATGACTGACAGCCGCAGCGGAGGGAAACGTTTACGTGATCTTGAATTTAACGACTTAAATTTTTATTTCTATCTCACATTATACTATAGTCTTCATATAGTATATAGTATACCTTCCCCCTCTAATGTCCATAATAGCTACCACCAGAAGCCACGCCCACAAACAACAATGACAGTCAAGCCCTAAAGCTGTAAGTTAAAGGAGCTGTATGTAAGAAATGTATTTCAATTAATCATAAAATGGCCCTGATATGTCTCTAGACATTAAGAAATCATGTTCATTTCAAATACTTATATCACTGACAACAGTAGTACGGCCACGATATTGTCATTTAAAAAGTGCAGTTGCAGCCCTCAACTGATGTTGATGTTGTCATCTTGTGTTTTGGCCTGAAGCCCCACCCTCCACCTATCTACCAATCACGAAGTCAGTAGTGTTTCGGCATCCGGGTTGCCAGCTCTGCTCTAGTTGAAAGCTCCTTGTAGCAGCCTACGTTCCTGCTGGATCCTGCAGCCTATCTGGCAACCTCGAGTCAGGGGGGAGGGGGAGGGGATACACCGCTCTACAGTAATTTGAAAGTGATTGCAGTACCAATTTTGGCCACAATCTTACATACAGCTCCTTTAACTGATGGCTCTTTTAGGCTCTCTCTCTCCTCTGGTGCGCACTCTAAATGCAAGCGTGCATTTTAATCGTCTATAATACATGATTCCGAAGGATAGATTAAAAGACCAGGTCATTTTTTTTTTTTTTTTATAAATACAAAATTATTAAAAAATAATAAAAATTATCAATAAATTATTTTTTTTTGAGATCCGGGGCTAAAAAAAAAACATCCGGGGCTGAAGCCCCGAATGCCCATGTCTAACGACGCGCCTGGACAGCACCGTCCCTTTTCTTGTTAGGAAACCTGTGGACTCGATGTCCTGACAGGCCGGAGTTTTTGCAACCTCCACAAACACAATTTACCATGACGATGATGAATTAAAATACAAAAACTACCGAAAACACGGATTCACGACTGCTCTTACTGACTTTTTTTTTAATTCGATGCCACAAGAACAAGAGGTTTTACATATTCACAATATCACATTAACATTAGCTGCCAGGATGCCAGGAAATAAAAAATACAAAAAAAGTTTTACATAAAATCCAGTGCTTTCAAAGCATTACATGTTTTCATTGCTTTTTTGCTTTTAGTTTGTTCCAAAAGATGTACATATAATGTGAAGTCATTTATAAAATGTGAAAAAAAGCCCAATTCTTTTTATGTATATGGTATTTTCCTAATAAAACAAATAACTGTATAATAATATGTTGTTCTTTACATTCCAAATTGTCATTCTGAGTATAAAAAAGCAAATTTACCCGCTCTACTGAATACAAACCTATCTGCGCTGCTGATGCTCCCTCCCTCTGGTGACGTAAAATGACGCGATGTTGAAAAAAAAAACGTTTTTTTACGAGCAGTCCAAGAAACGCTCACTTTATCTACTAAATTTGTGCCCTTATGTCGTTTTAAAACATTTTAAATCCTGCATTACCTTTTTCATATGGTATTTTCATACAAGGTTATATGTTAATTTAGATTTTTTTTTTAACCTGCAATATGCTCTTTAACATCCGTAAACACGCCCCTCCAACTGACAGTAGACAGGCTGAATGAAAACACCTTTTCTAGATCCAATCAGGTGCTAGTTGGAAAAAAGCCACACCCACTATTTTGCCTCATTTAGTAATCCGTTTCTCTCGGAAATACGTCACAACACTGGAGAAAAGTCGTTTGCAACTTCCGGTTCACGGGGACTTTAAACTTCATCTCCAGAGCTGCTCTGAGAGTCACTTCATCAGAATTTTACCATTTTTTACCAAAAAAAAGTTCAGTTTAACTTGAAGAAATTGTGAAAGAAATATATTACTGTTGTACAGTAGAATTGAGCTACGTCTCAATGTAATAATAATACTAACACTAATAATAAATTATTATTAAAAATATTTTTTTAAAGGAATAATCGTAATTGTCCATTAAAATGGAATCCAGAAAACTTAAAGCAGAAAACAGAATTTGGGAAAAAATTCATTTAAACTTATTTCATAGTGCCCTAAACATGTCATTTTTGTTAAACTTTTAATAAATTGTTGTTAAATTGTATAAGTTTCATGATTTCAATTAATTAGACATGCTTTTTGATTACAATATTTTTTATTTAACCATTAAATTTGAGTCCAAAAAAAAAAAAAAAATCTACAATTTAGCATCTTTTGGGGTTGACAGAGTAACTAAAGTGTGAGACAAAGGCATTTCATGTGTTACTCTCACCTGCACTTGTATTAGTCGAGTGGTCCTGGGGTGGTGTTTGGTCTACATAATCTATGGAGACTCCATCAGCTGAGCCTCTTACCCATTCAAATCCATCACCCTGGATGAGCTCATACCAACCGCATGAGTCAGACTCGAAATCACACCGTGCCGCTGAAAGTCAAATTAACATTATGAAGGAATAATAAAATAATAATGTAAAGGATAAAACAACCCTTTCAAAGCAGTGTATTTTTTTAACAAATGATTATGCAAAAAACTTGGTCAATTGCTTATTGTAAAAAAAACAACAACAAAAAAACAGGGTGTTTGATTTTAATCAAAGTAAATGTTTATTAAAGGGGTCATAAGATGGTTCTAAAAAGAACATTATTTTTGTGTATTTGGTTTAATGCAATGCGTTTACGCGGTTTTAGTTTTAAAAAAGTCATTATTTTACACATACCGTACATTATTGTTGCTCCTCTATGCCCCTCCTTTCTGAAAAGCGTCGATTTTTACAAAGTTCATCATTCTGGTTCTGAAAAGCGTGGTTTGCTCTGATTGGCAAGCGATTCAGTGCATTGTGATTGGCCCGAAAACCTTATGCGTGTGTCGGAAATGTCACGCCTCTTACCATATTTGGAACGTCAGATCCCAAAGCAATAATGACAGGTGATAGTCAATATCGAGCTCGAATCTGACCAAGCTGATCGATCAACTTTGCCAGCGCGACTGGACCAGAACGTATCAGATTGGTAAGGGTTTATTTCATTGGGGACATTACTGATTATAATGACTAAATACTGTCTTTTTACGCGTCACGCTACGGGGGGGAGAACACTATGTAAACATAAAACCATGTCTGCATTTTTTTGATCATAGAAACAACATACAAGCGCCACTCTATTATATGCTCAAAACTCGCGTTTGAATAGTCGGTAGCAAATTATTAAAATGTGAAAACATACTTACAGGCTGTGTTTGTGAGTCAGAAGCGCCAGAGTGTTCTAGCAAAGATATATTGCCCCACTTTTTAGAATCAGCCTTTGTGTACAGCCGGCCTTGTACTCTCTCAGGTTCTGGAAACAGTCCTCCGAAAAATGCGCAGCACACAGTCGAATATTTTGGTTGTACTGTTATAAAACTTAACCACTGTTTTCTAATTATGTCCTCTTTTGGAAGGCCAAACAAAGTAGTTTGGCTTTCGCAACGAAAAGCAGTGTCTCCACCCAGCAGCGCCGGCGACAACAATAATACAGCGAGAATAAAAGTTACGCCTTTTTTCTTTGCATATTCTGTACATTTGGGCGGTGTTATGAAACTCTGCCCTTTCATTTTTGACCAAAGAAGCCCAGAGGGTTAAACAGTGACATGGCTCATTTTCCAGTGAAATCATGTCAACTTTAAGCTCTTTTGATCTTTGAGTCTATTTACTTACAACAGTTGGCCTCATCCTCTCCATTGGGGCAGTCTAAAGAAAAGTCACACACTTTCACCCCATCCACATAGACATTTTCCCCACAGTGAAAGTCAGTTGAAAGGGGTGCCTTGATGTCAGTCTCTGAAGAAAACAATAAAGCCAACACATATATATTATAGAAAAAGTAAACAAAAGTGAAGTGAAGTATCTCATAAAGTGGAGAGCTTCTGAGAGCTCCTTCCTGCATCATTCACCTTTGTTAATAAAATATACAGTCAGCTTTGTTCTGTTCTGTCTGTATTTATGGTTTTCTCATAAACAGTTAAGCATTTTTTGTGATAAATGTATAAAATATAGTTAATGACTTACTGAACAGCTATATTTTTGTGTCATAGATTAAATCTTAAAATGTAGATCTAAAAAATCTTCAGAATATAATAAAACCACTCGCACTTGCATATACTCTAAATGTAGCTGTCTCTTGCTCCTATCTTCGGCTGAACTGTAAATTGTAAAGTTGCTGAGGTTCCCTTCTGCCTATCACCATTGTCACTCTGGTGTCCCAGTTCATCCAGCAAAGGGCTATACATGTATTAGACCTTATTTACAGCTTTATATCCCCAAATCTCTTGAGCTCTCTGCACCTCACACCATTCAGAAATCCAGCCATCACATAACTTCATCTTTGTGCCTTTACAAACAGCTACATCATGACCCAAACATGGACATCTGAAGGAGGAGCAATCATACATACTGAATAACATACTGAACTAGAATGTACATTTCCGGAAGAAAATGTGAGTGGTGCTTGCAGTGGCAAAATTCGGCACGGTTGCTAGGGTGTTTCTATTGGGTTGCTAAGGTGTTCTGGGTGGTTAGTAGGTGTTTGCTAAGATATTCGGGGTGGTTGCTAGGTGGTTGCTAAGGTGATTTTGTGTGGTTGCTAAGGTATTCTGGGTGGTTGCTAGGGTGTTGCTAAATGCGGTTGCTATGGTGTTTTGGGTGGTTGCTAAGGTATTCTGGGTGGTTGCTAGGGTGTTCTTGGTGGTTGCTATGGTGTTGCTAGGGTATTTTGGCTGGTTGCTAGGGCGTTTCTAGGCAGTTGCTATGGTGCTCTAAATGGTTGCTAGGGTGTGGCTTGATAGCTTTACAATGATCCTGAGAGACTGATTGGTTGTCTGAGTAAAATGAGCCCGCCCCCTTGTCTCTATGACACTGTGATCCAGTTATGTTCAATACAAAATCCCTATGCAATTTACCATAGTAGGAAAGCATGTGTGTTTCATGGGCCGTCCCTTGACCATAGTATGCAATGGGGCAACTTTGGGCGCCTCCTGCCCCCCAGGGGTACAACTTTTACCCCATTGTGAGGTATGTTCTTACAGAGCCTGCCAGCCTCTTCAAATGTGGTAAATCGCACGTTTCTGCGAAATCCTCGCTCGGAGCTATGACTCGTCAAAATTTGTCGCAATGCAAAGTCTATGGGACATTTTCGGCCACTTTTTCGCCCCTGTTCGTACCCCCGTTCTCTTATAAAAGTCATAGCACACCTTTCCTCAATAATCCGCACGATTTGACGCCTCATTCATGGGTCTGTGACAAAAGCTGCGGGAGGAGTAGCGCCAAACTTTTCCACGGAATAATAATAATAAGTATGAGCAATAACAATAGTGATGGCTTGCCTATGGCAAGCACCACTAATAAAGCATAAGTTTTAAGATTATAAAAATAAACAGTTCACCCAAAAATAATAATTCTCTCATCATTTACTCATTTACCCTAATGTCGTATCAAACCAGAACAGTAAAGATGATTTTTTTTCTACCTTAAACATGAATGTTAATAAATTATTCCATAATTTAAATTTTTAGTTTAACTATCCTGGTAAACTTTTGGATTTAGCCAGCCTAACTGGATTTGCAAAAAAGAAAAGATGTATTAGTGTTCACTCACCTATGGCTGCCACACATTCTCTGCTGAAGGACAGATCATCAATCGCAACAACTTCATTTGGGTCACTGCTGTTGAATATCAATCCTCTAATCACAACCTGTAGATTCACAGCAGTTAAGTTTTACCGATTCAATACACACCATACATACTTTTGTAACACTTTATTTTACAGTGTCCTTGTTACTTGTTATAACAGTAATATCAATTGTGCATAATTACATGCAACTAACCCTAAACCACACCATAACCCTAACCCTAAAGTACATGTAGCTAAATATTAATACTCGGTTCTAAATGTATAATTACACTGTAACACGGACACCTTAAAGGGATAGATCACCCAAAAATGAAAATTAGCCCATAATTTACTCACCCTGAAGCCATCCTAGGTGTATATGACATTCTTCTTTCAGACGAATACATTCGGAGTTATATTAAGAAATGTCCTGGCTCTTCCAAGCTTTATAATGGCAGTGAATGGCTGGATGACTTTGGAAGTCCAGCAAAGCACATCTATTCATGATGAAAGCGCTCCACTTTTCTGATTTAAGGCGAAAGAGTATCAGCTCAACTTGACGCACAACGTAATGACGAATGTGGTTGCCCAGCCCTTTTTGTTTGAACCGCGAGAGGCATCAATTGCCGTCATTATGTTGTGCGTAAAGTTCAATTCAGAAGGCCTTTATTAACCCCAAGAGACATGTGGAGCGCTTTCATCATGAATAGATGCGCTTTGCTGGACTTACAAAGTCATCCAGCCATTCACTGCCATTATAAAGCTTGGAAGAGCCAAGACATTTCTTAATATAACTCCGATTGTATTTGTCTGAAAGAAGAATGTTATATACACCTAGGATGGCTTCAGGGTGAGTAAATCATGGGCTAATTTTAATTTTTGGGTTACCTTTTAAAATAAAGTGTAACCACTACTTTTTGATCATGAGTTCAAATAATAATAGCCCCTCCCCCAAACACACATAAGCCCTCATTCAGTACATCCACACCAACCTTAAACTCCTCTCTGCTGTTTAACACCACCACTGTTCGCATCCAGGGAAGAGTGTGTGGATAAGGATTGGAGGTGGACTGGAACCAAACCTCCTCCATCTCTCCCGAAGTTTTGAATTGGATCAGAACCTGCAAAGCCCCTGTCAGCAACCCAATATGACGATAGAAAGTTAGCTGTTCAAAAGAAAAGGGCAACAAAGAGACAAAATATAAATTACCCCCCCAAAAAAATGTTTTATGTGAACAAAGGATTCAAGCAATGTATTGCTTGCTTCATAACAAGTTAGAACCACTAAAGATATTCAATGGTTGGACAAATGAGACAAAATTAAAGCTGAAAGCATTTCATACTCAAAGCCATTTTGTTATAAAGTGAGGTTGTTGTTATTGATGTTATTGCATCTTCCTGCCAGTGTCAATCTTATTTTTATATAAGCAGAGAAGCACTCAAAGTGAATTACTCCATATCCAATAACAGTGGATCTAAACCCATAGATCACAATGAGTGCATGCACTACCCACTGTGTCACGGCTCTGACAGCCTATGCATAACTCTCTGCTGTCAATAAGAGTGTGTAGCCGTGGCAGTGGATAAGTGCTCTAAACACTTAATCGGGTGCTTGAGCAAAGCATTTAACAAGATGCTGCTTATGGTTTGTGGTAAACCCAAAATGTCTCTTTCGTCAAAAAACTAACATATTGCATTCATTGCAATATATATATATTGCATTCATTTATGGAATTTCTAAAATATTGTATATAATTGGCCATAATAATCATATAATAGGCTTTATAGGCTATTGTAATTGTAAACTGTGTTTTGTATCATGTGCATTAACGGTGATGATTTGTCATCATGATTTTGTCTTGAGAGGGCATTGATGTCCAATTTTTAACTAAGTAACTTGTATTTATGATAATTCTGATAGCACATGAAGGCATAAACCTCTCTACTTAAGCGTCAGTCTTGCACATCCACCATGTTTGTAGTTTTTTAACACTTTTTATTTGTGTTTGGTTCTAACTGAATCCTCGTCCACTGCTCAATGGGTTGTGGGCATTGGTTAGTGCATGGATCTGCACTTCGGACTCTAACTGGGAAAAGTAGACCATCCGGGTATCTTTGGGATGCTCATTTCAACACACTGTAATTTGGGAGACCCTAATTCTAATTTCGAATACTATTTAGGACGGATAACATGCGAGCTGGGATGTAGCATTCAGGAACGAAACCAGAGTGAGTCACTTCATCATTCATCCAACCAATTTGTTCATAAACAGATTAATTCTGCAATAAAAACAGAGTGAGATATATTCAACCGATTTGTTCATAAACACTGATTAATTTAGTAACAAAACACCACAACAGAAACTATTTACATTGGCGGAGCAAAAATAGACAAAGTAATTGGCAATATTTTGTCTAAAATGTGAGTCAATATTCATTTCTTGATTATTGAACAGTTGTATAAAAGAAATATCACACACTAAATGTTACAGAAATTAGCATTTTTATATATAGCTTGCTCAAAGTAGATTTTTACCAAATAAGCAACTATTTTTTTTATATGGCATCAGGATTTACAATGATAGTCAAAGACATACGAGATACGAAATACATTTAGTTAGAAACCGTGATAATGTTTTTCTGTACCCAGCATGTCTGTGAAGGCTGGAAAAGAGGACTGTATATTTCAGCAGTGACTCCTTCTCCATTTTTGGATCGTATATAGAGGCAGTGACCTGACAAAAGAGAAGAAACAGTGTCCTGGAAAGTCAGGAAATACAGTATGCAGTTTTTTTTTTTTTTTTTACAGTTTTTTGAACCTTCAGACAAAATATATAAAAGACAATCTAAAAAAAAGTTTGCATATGCGTTTTATGTTTTGTATCGTATATGGATTTAGTATAATATGGAGCTTACACTCGAGGAGGAAAAACTTTATTCAACCCAAACTGAGAAAAATATGCAATTTGGTGCAGATGTTATTTATATAGCCAAAAAGATAAAATTCTGATAGTTTGTAATGCAAATCAATTATGTTTTCATAACAGTGTAACTACTTACATAAAATGCATACTAGTTGCTACTCTACATATATCCCAATAATATATCTTAGTAATATGATATTTAAATGCTTTGTTTTATCTTCAAAAACATATGTTGTAATGCAATACAATGATGATTGACGGATGTACATATAAATATTCTTTAAAACCCTGTTGTATCATATATGATAAATACACATATTTTAACATGGTTTTTCTAACAAATTTTTTTTTTTAAAGACATATGTACCATGACCCGTTGTGGGACATTTTTAGAATTATCTAGAAGTCAGAGGGCAGAATGCATGCAGTAAATTTTGGGCAACAGGTTTTTGAGCAAAGTTTTGATCAAGTCAATAATTTAGAGGCCTAAGAAATTCATGTATCAAATATGATTCAGTAGGCTGGTTAAGTAGTATCCCTACGAATATAAGATCAACTGTTTTACTTACCAGTAACATTTTCTCCCTCAGTACTGGGCCGGCTCAAGCCTGAGCCTCTTATCCAAACATGATGTTGAAAACCACAGAAACCTTCCTGAAAGTCACATCTCACAAACTGTGAGCCTACAATAGAGGAAACTCACAGCTACATCAGGTCATTACAGTAAAGTAAATTAATTTAATTTGAAATCTGTAATAGAGAAACCACTGAAAATATGAAACTCAACATGGCATCCTTCACAACACATTTAATAGGTCCTTGACTGAAAATATGTTATAAAATAGATTCAAGAGAGCAGATACACAATAAGGACATATGTAATAATAAATAATAAAACTAGAAAAAGTTCGTCGAGACAAACTTTAAGTTGGCTTGTGAAAGTTTGGACCGCAAAGTTTGAAGAAGTTTAAAGTAGTTTGAAGTTTAAATTAGTTTAAAGTTTAAATTAGTTTGAAGTTTAAATTAGTTTAAAGTAGTTTATAGTTTAACTTAGTTTAAAGTAGTTTAAAGTTTAAAGTAGTTTAAAGTAGTTTATGGTTTAAAGTAGTTTAAAGTTTAAAGTAGTTTATAGTTTAAAGTAGTTTAAAGTTTAACTTAGTTTAAAGTAGTTTAAAGTAGTTTAAAGTTTTAAATAGTTTAAAGTTCAAAGTAGTTTAAAGGTTAAAGTATAGTTTCAAGTAATTAAATGTTAATAGGGTGTTTGTAGTGGGTTGCTAAGGTGTTGTGGGTGGTTGCTAGGTGGTTGCTAATGTATTTTGAGTGGTTGCTAGGGTGTTCTGGGTGGTTGCTAGGCGGTTGCTAAGGTATTTTGGGTGGTTGCTAGGGTGTTAAGGTGGTTGCTAGGGTGTTCTAAGGTATTTTGGGTGGTTGCTATGGTGTTGCTAGGGTGTTCTACGGTATTTTGGGTGGTTGCTAAGGTGTTGCTAGGGTGTTCTAAGGTATTTTGGCTGGTTGCTAGGGTGTTATGGGTGGTCGCTAGGCGGTTGCTAAGGTATTTTGAGTGGTTGCTAGGGTGTTCTGGGTGGTTGCTAGGTGGTTGGTAAGGTATTTTGGGTGGTTGCTAGGGTGTTCTAGGGTATTTTGGGTGGTTGCTAGGGTGTTGCTAGGGTGTTCTAGGGTATTTTGGGTGGTTGCTAGGGTGTTCTAAGGTATTTTGGGTGGTTGCTATGGTGTTGCTAGGGTGTTCTAAGGTATTTTGGGTGGTTGCTAGGGTGTTCTAAGGTATTTTTGGTGGTTGCTAGGGTGTTCTAGGGTATTTTGGGTGGTTGCTAGGGTGTTCTAAGGTATTTTAGGTGGTTGCTAGGGTGTTCTAAGGTATTTTAGGTGGTTGCTAGGGTGTTCTGGGTGGTTGCTAGGGTGTTCTAAGGTATTTTAGGTGGTTAATATGGTGTTGCTAGGGTGTTCTAAGGTATTTTGGGTGGTTGCTAGGGTGTTCTAAGGTATTTCTGGTGGTTGCTAGGGTGTTCTAAGGTATTTTTGGTGGTTGCTAGGGTGTTCTAGGGTATTTTGGGTGGTTGCTAGGGTGTTGCTAGGGTGTTCTAGGGTATTTTGGGTGGTTGCTAGGGTGTTCTAAGGTATTTTGGGTGGTTGCTAGGGTGTTCTAAGGTATTTTAGGTGGTTGCTAGGGTGTTGCTAGGGTGTTCTAAGGTATTTTGGGTGGTTGCTAGGGTGTTCTGGGTGGTTGCTAGGGTGTTCTAAGGTATTTTTGGTGGTTACTAGGGTGTTCTGGGTGGTTGCTAGGGTGTTCTAAGGTATTTTGGGTGGTTGCTAGGGTGTTCTGAGGTATTTTGGGTGGTTGCTAGGGTGTTCTAAGGTATTTTTGGTGGTTGCTATGGTGTTGCTAGGGTGTTCTAAGGTATTTTGGGTGGTTGCTAGGGTGTTCTAAGGTATTTTAGGAGGTTGCTATGGTGTTGCTAGGGTGTTCTAAGGTATTTTGAGCGGTTGCTAGGGTGTTCTGGGTGGTTGCTAGGGTGTTCTAAGGTATTTTTGGTGGTTGCTAGGGTGCTCTGGGTGGTTGCTAGGGTGTTCTAAGGTATTTTGGGTGGTTGCTAGGGTGTTGCTAGGGTGTTCTAAGGTATTTTGGGTGGTTGCTATGGTGTTGCTAGGATGTTCTAAGGTATTTCGGTTGGTTTCTAGTGTGTTCTGGGTGGTTGCTATGCAGTTGCTAGGGTGTTCTGGGTGTTTGCTATGGTGAACTATTTATGAGTTTAAAAGTTCATAAGTGTATGAATTCATGAGAGTTCATAAGTGTATGAATGAATGAATTTATAAGTTCATGAGTTTATAAGTGTATGAATTTATGAGTTTAGAGTTTATAAGTGTATGAGTTTATAAGTGTTTGAGTTTATGAGTTTAGAGTTTATAAGTTTAAATGAGTAAGAGTTGAGAGTTTATTAATTTATGAGTTTGAGTTCATAAGTGTATGAGTTTATAAGTGTTTGAGTTTATGAGTTTAGAGTTTATAAGTTTAAATGAGTAAGAGTTTATTAATTTATTATGAGTTGTTTAAATGAGTCTAAGAGTTCAAGTTTAGAGTTTATTAATTTATTATGAGTTTAAGAGTTTAAGATTAGATAGATAAGTGTCATAGATAGATGAGTTTATTAGTTTAAATGAGTCTCAATGGCTCATATAGTGTATAGAATGGCAGTTTGATTCAGTCTAGGGTTTCAAGGGATTTACATTTGAATTTTTGACAGTTGGGGAGTTTGAAAATCTGAAGATTCCGCAATGTTAAGTCAATGGGAGTTTTTTCCGACTTTGATCATCGTTTTTAGGAAAACCGTAAGTCCGATCAGTTAGAAAAGATATAGCAACTCGAGTCAGAACAGTTTGAGTGTCCGAGCCGAGTTTGGAGTATGTGGAGTTAAAGCTCTAGGAGGAGATAGAGTCAGAAATTTTTCCGCTCAGAAGAATAATAATAACTAGAAAAAGTTCGTCGAGACAAACTTTAAGTTGGCTTGTGAAAGTTTGGACCGCAAAGTTTGAAGAAGTTTAAAGTAGTTTGAAGTTTAAATTAGTTTAAAGTTTAAATTAGTTTGAAGTTTAAATTAGTTTAAAGTAGTTTATAGTTTAACTTAGTTTAAAGTTTAAAGTAGTTTAAATTAATTTAAAGTTTAAATTAGTTTGAATTTTAAAGTAGTTTGAAGTTTAAATTAGTTTAAAGTTTAAATAAGTTTGAATTTTAAAGTAGTTTGAAGTTTAAATTAGTTTAAAGTAGTTTAAAATAGTTTAAAGTTTTAAATAGTTTAAAGTTCAAAGTAGTTTAAAGGTTAAAGTATAGTTTCAAGTAATTAAATGTTGCTAGGGTGTTTCTAGTGGGTTGCTAAGGTGTTGTGGGTGGTTGCTAGGTGGTTTCTAAGGTATTTTGAGTGGTTGCTAGGGTGTTCTGGGTGGTTGCTAGGGTGTTCTAGAGAATTTTAGGTGGTTGCTATGGTGTTGCTAGGGTGTTTTAAGGTATTTTGGGTGGTTGCTAGGGTGTTGTTAGGGTGTTCTAAGGTATTTTGGGTGGTTGCTATGGTGTTGCTAGGGTGTTCTAAGGTATTTTGGGTGGTTGCTAGGGTGTTGCTAGGGTGTTCTAAAGTATTTTGGGTGGTTGCTAGGGTGTTCATATGTATTTTGGGTGGTTTCTAGGGTGTTGCTAGGGTTTTCTAAGGCATTTTGGGTGGTTGCTAGGGTGTTCTGGGTGGTTGCTAGGGTGTTCTGAGGTATTTTGGGTGGTTGCTAGGGTGTTGCTACGGTGTTCTAAGGCATTTTTGGTGGTTGCTAGGGTGTTCTGGGTGGTTGCTAGGGTGTTCTAAGGTATTTTGGGTGGTTGCTAGGGTGCTCTAAGGTATTTTGGGTGGTTGCTATGGAGATGCTAGGGTGTTCTAAGGTATTGTGGGTGGTTGCTAGGGTGTTCTATGTGGTTGCTAGGGTGTTCTAGGGTATTTTGGGTGGTTGCTAGGGTGTTGTTAGGGTGTTCTAAGGTATTTTGGGTGCTTGCTATGGTGTTGCTAGGGTGTTCTAAGGTATTTTGTGTGGTTGCTAAGGTGTTGCTAGGGTGTTCTAAGGTATTTTGGGTGGTTGCTAGGGTGTTCTGGGTGGTTGCTAGGGTGTTCTAAGGTATTTTTGGTGGTTGCTAGGGTGTTCTGGGTGGTTGCTATGGTGTTGCTATGGTGTTCTAAGGTATTTTGGGTGGTTGCTAGGGTGTTGCTAGGATGTTCTGAGGTATTTCGGGTGGTTGCTAGGGTGTTGCTAGGGTGTTCTAAGGTATTTTTGGTGGTTGCTAGGGTGTTCTAAGGTATTTTGGGTGGTTGCTATGGTGTTGCTAGGGTGTTCTAAGGTATTTTGGGTGGTTGCTAGGGTGTTCTAAGTTATTTTGGGTGGTTGCTAGGGTGTTCTAAGGTATTTTGGGTGGTTGCTAGGGTGTTGCTAGGGTGTTATAAGGCATTTTGGGTGGTTGCTAGGGTGTTCTAAGGTATTTTGGGTGGTTGCTAGGGTGTTGCTAGGGTGTTATAAGGCATTTTGGGTGGTTGCTAGGGTGTTCTGGGTGGTTGCTAGGGTGTTCTAAGGTATATTTTGTGGTTGCTTGGGTGTTCTAAGGTATTGTGGGTGGTTGCTATGGTGTTGCTAGGGTGTTCTAAGGTATTTCAGTTGGTTTCTAGGGTGTTCTGGGTGGTTGCTATGCAGTTGCTAGGGTGTTCTGGGTGTTTTCTATGGTGAACTATTTATGAGTTTAAAAGTTCATAAGTGTATGAATTCATGAGAGTTCATACGTGTATGAATTAATGCATTTATAAGTTCATTGAGTTTATAAGTGTATGAATTTATGAGTTTAGAGTTTATAAGTTTAAATGAGTAAGAGTTCAGAGTTTATTAATTTATGAGTTTGAGTTCATAAGTGTATGAATTCATGAGTTTATAAGTGTATGAGTTTATAAGTGTACGAGTTTATGAGTTTAAAGTTTAAATTAGTTTGAAGTTTAAAGTTTAAATAAGTTTGAAGTTTAAAGTTTAAATAAGTTTGAAGTTTAAATTAGTTTGAAGTTTAAAGTTTAATTTAGTTTGAAGTTTAATTTAGTTTAAAGTAGATAGATAGATAGATGGATAAGTGTCATAGATAGATGAGTTTATTAGTTTGAATGAGTCTCATTGGCTCATATAGTGTATAGAATGGCAGTTTGATTCAGTCTAGGGTTTCAAGGGATTTACATTTGAATTTTTGACAGTTGGGGAGTTTGAAAATCTGAACATTCCGCAATGTAAAGTCAATGGGAGTTTTTTCCGACTTTGATCGTCATTTTTAGGAAAACCGTAAGTCCGATCAGTTAGAAAAGATATAGCAACGCGAGTCAGAACAGTTTGAGTGTCTGTGCCGAGTTTGGAGTATGTGGAGTAAAAGCTCTAGGAGGAGTAGCAGTTGTAAATTTTGAGTAAGAAGAATAATAATAATAATAATAAGTTTAAATAGGATTTCAGTAAGTTGGCTCTCCAAGCCAACTTAACTAGAAAAAGTTCGTCGAGACAAACTTTAAGTTGGCTTGTGAAAGTTTGGACCGCAAAGTTTGAAGAAGTTTAAAGTAGTTTGAAGTTTAAATTAGTTTAAAGTTTAAATTAGTTTGAAGTTTAAATTAGTTTAAAGTAGTTTATAGTTTAACTTAGTTTAAAGTAGTTTAAAGTTTAAAGTAGTTTAAAGTTTAACTTAGTTTAAAGTAGTTTAAAGTAGTTTAAAGTTTTAAATAGTTTAAAGTTCAAAGTAGTTTAAAGGTTAAAGTATAGTTTCAAGTAATTAAATGTTAATAGGGTGTTTGTAGTGGGTTGCTAAGGTGTTGTGGGTGGTTGCTAGGTGGTTGCTAATGTATTTTGAGTGGTTGCTAGGGTGTTCTGGGTGGTTGCTAGGCGGTTGCTAAGGTATTTTGGGTGGTTGCTAGGGTGTTAAGGTGGTTGCTAGGGTGTTGCTAGGGTGTTCTAAGGTATTTTGGGTGGTTGCTATGGTGTTGCTAGGGTGTTCTACGGTATTTTGGGTGGTTGCTAGGGTGTTCTAAGGTATTCTGGGTGGTTGCTATGGTGTTGCTAGGGTGTTCTAATGTATTTTAGGTGGTTGCTAGGGTGTTCTAAGGTATTTTTGGTGGTTGCTAGGGTGTTTAAGGTATTTTGGGTGGTTGCTAGGGTGTTGCTAGGGTGTTCTAGGGTATTTTGGGTGGTTGCTAGGGTGTTCTAAGGTATTTTAGGTGGTTGCTAGGGTGTTCTAAGGTATTTTTGGTGGTTGCTAGGGTGTTCTGGGTGGTTGCTAGGGTGTTCTAAGGTATTTTGGGTGGTTGCTAGGGTGTTGCTAGGGTGTTCTAAGGTATTTTGGGTGGTTGCTAGGGTGTTCTAAGGTATTTTTGGTGGTTGCTAGGGTGTTGCTAGGGTGTTCTAGGGTATTTTGGGTGGTTGCTAGGGTGTTCTAAGGTATTTTAGGTGGTTGCTAGGGTGTTCTGGGTGGTTGCTAGGGTGTTGTTAGGGTGTTCTAAGGTATTTTTTGGTGGTTGCTATGGTGTTGCTAGGGTGTTCTAAGGTATTTTGGGTGGTTGCTAGGGTGTTCTAAGGTATTTTGGGTGGTTGCTATGGTGTTGCTAGGGTGTTTAAGGTATTTTGGGTGGTTGCTATGGTGTTCTAAGGTATTTTAGGTGGTTGCTATGGTGTTGCTAGGGTGTTCTAAGGTATTTTGAGTGGTTGCTAGGGTGTTCTGGGTGGTTGCTAGGGTGTTCTAAGGTATTTTGGGTGGTTGCTAGGGTGTTCTAAGGTATTTTGGGTGGTTACTAGGGTGTTGCTAGGGGGTTCTAAGGTATTTTGGGTGGTTGCTAGGGTGTTCTAAGGTATTTTAGGAGGTTGCTATGGTGTTGCTAGGGTGTTCTAAGGTATTTTGAGCGGTTGCTAGGGTGTTCTGGGTGGTTGCTAGGGTGTTCTAAGGTATTTTTGGTGGTTGCGAGGGTGTTCTGGGTGGTTGCTAGGGTGTTCTAAGGTATTTTGGGTGGTTGCTAGGGTGTTGCTAGGGTGTTCTAAGGTATTTTGGGTGGTTGCTATGGTGTTGCTAGGATGTTCTAAGGTATTTCGGTTGGTTTCTAAGGTGTTCTGGGTGGTTGCTATGCAGTTGCTAGGGTGTTCTGGGTGTTTGCTATGGTGAACTATTTATGAGTTTAAAAGTTCATAAGTGTATGAATTCATGAGAGTTCATAAGTTTATGAATGAATGAATTTATAAGTTCATGAGTTTATAAGTGTATGAATTTATGAGTTTAGAGTTTATAAGTTTAAATGAGTAAGAGTTGAGAGTTTATTAATTTATGAGTTTGAGTTCATAAGTGTATGAGTTTATAAGTGTTTGAGTTTATGAGTTTAGAGTTTATAAGTTTAAATGAGTAAGAGTTTATTAATTTATTATGAGTTGTTTAAATGAGTCTAAGAGTTCAAGTTTAGAGTTTATTAATTTATTATGAGTTTAAGAGTTTAAGATTAGATAGATAAGTGTCATAGATAGATGAGTTTATTAGTTTAAATGAGTCTCAATGGCTCATATAGTATATAGAATGGCAGTTTGATTCAGTCTAGGGTTTCAAGGGATTTACATTTGAATTTTTGACAGTTGGGGAGTTTGAAAATCTGAAGATTCCGCAATGTTAAGTCAATGGGAGTTTTTTCCGACTTTGATCATCATTTTTAGGAAAACCGTAAGTCCGATCAGTTAGAAAAGATATAGCAACTCGAGTCAGAACAGTTTGAGTGTCCGAGCCGAGTTTGGAGTATGTGGAGTTAAAGCTCTAGGAGGAGATAGAGTCAGAAATTTTTCCGCTCAGAAGAATAATAATAATAAGTTTAAATAGGATTTCAGTAAGTTGGCTCTCACAAGCCAACTTAATAAGTTTAAATAGGATTTCAGTAAGTTGGCTCTCACAAGCCAACTTAATAATAAATTGCTTATGGATCTTTTCTTATCATCATCATTAAAAGGATGAATATGCAAAACAAAAGCAATAGTGGTCAACCCAATTAATCAACCTCAATTCTGTAATGTTCTGCCTTCTAAAACCCCCAGAGATATTTAATCAATATTATAAAAGCACTGTTGTGTCTCATCTGTAGACCTTCAAGTGTGTCACTTTATGAGTGAGCCATAAATCTCACTGTTTACACATGAGGCCTTTGGGAGCATTTAAAATCATACTGTCAACAGAGAGGGAAAAGAAAGGGCCATTACTGTCAGAGTTGTAAGCACAGACAGACAACATACGAATAGAAGAGCAGAAAAAGGAGCTGAAGAGTGGAAATGAAAAAGTGTTTAAGAATAATACATACAGTTAGTCTCATCACTGCCATCTTCACAGTTTTCTCTGAAATCACAAACATGCTCCTCAGATACACAGCCGCCTCTCGCACAAGTAAAGTGCTCAGGCAGACATGGAGCGGATGATACACTCGCCAGGACACACAGCAGAAACGAGGCCTGTACGCACACCCTCATTGAGCTCTCCGATAGACAGTTCACTAGCACATTCAGATCTACATGTGAGGAAAAACACAGGCAGACACACTCAGTATCCAAAAAAGTCCTTAAAATCCAGAGAGAGACAGCGTATAACCTCGACTTTGTTCTACGGACAGTCGCGTCTCACAGAAGAACCATCTGTTTAGTGCTCACACCAACCCTAGCTCAAGTGACTTTATGACTGTTACACAATAGGCCTGCTTTCTTTCATTATGTGCCTGATGTCAAAGTGTGCGTCAGACTTCTTGTAATTGGCTAGAGATAAAGTGACAATAAAATGTAATCTATTATTTTAAGACACAATCTTCCGTGCAATAAGAACACAAGTTTACAAGCAAGTTAAACAAACACATTTACGTAAGAAATATAAAGCAATTTAAACAAGTATTAGAATTGTCACTACCTAAATTTACCTTCATTTTCAGCTCGAAGAAACATGACTGAATGAGCAATAAGGTGGCAAAGTAATCAGTCATGCATTAGTTCCACCCTCTGTCTCGCAGCGGCTTTACAAATGTTCATTCAGCTATAATTTCGTTTTTCATGAATCAATGACTAAAATTCAAAATTATTCACAAGGTGTGCTAGAAGAGAAGCTCGGTTGGCCATAATAATATCCGAATAACCTTCGAGCACAAACGAGCCCAGCGATATGAATGAAGAATAAATACTTGGGTATTTAAAATTGCAGCAAACAAGTCTGCATTGCTTGTAATTTTGATAGGCCTTTACAAAAAGTTCTCTCTATTCTTTTATATTTACAACTCTACCAGGCAAATCTAAGATTTCTGAAGTCATGATTTTTTAAATTCAGCTGCGTAAATGTAAAAGACATCTTTCATTTGCAGCTGTCTAACCTTTGTAGTATTTGCAGTATGATAGTCTGTCTTATGTAATGGTGAATAGAATGATATTCAGGGATGACTGATATCTCATTCTCAGTTACAGAGGCACTACCACTACCAGTCTCTGAACAACCGCATATAACAACAGTCCCTCTCTGTCATTCAGAAGTTTGCAGTCGGTAAGATGAAGTCTGTAAGAAGTATTTTATGCTTACCAAGGCTCCATTTGTTTGTTCAAAAATACAGTAAAAGAGTAATAAAGTGAAATAATATTACAAGTTAAATAACTGTTTTCTATTTTAATGTATTTTAAAACGTAATTTATTCATGTGATGGGAAAGCTGAATTTTCAGCATCATTACTCCAGTCTTTAGTGTCACCTGATCCTTCAGAAATCAATCTAGTAGGATGATTTGTTGCTAAAGAAACACTTATTATTGATGTTGAAAACAGTTGTACAGCATAATATTTTTATTGAAACCATGAAACATTTTTTTCATTGTTGAATTGAAAGTACAAAACATTATTTATTTGATTGTTACTTACAGTGGGTATAGAAAAGAATCACCCCCCTTTAAAATAATCACATTTTGTTGCTTTGCAGCCTGAAATGAAAACGGACAAAAATCATTTTTTTTTTATTCAGCTGTATTTACAACTTATAACATCCAAGTGAAAGATATAATACCAACTTGTCAGAATTTTTTTTTTACAAATTAAAAAACAGAATCACTGAGTTGGAAAAAGAATCACCCCCCTCCTAAAAATGACTTGTAAACCCAACCAGGTGTAGTTAATCACCTTCTCAATAGCACACAAAGCCAATTGACTTTCAAATGTGATCAGCTGTGGTCATTTTGATTAGCTCAGCATGAAACAAGCTTTTCCTGAAGCATTTCAGTCCTTGGTAGTGCAACTGAAGAAAACAATCAACTATGGGTGGCAAGGCATTGACAAAAGATCTCCGGGATAAAGTTGTGGACAGGCACAAGTCAGGAGATGGATACAAAAAAAATTCAAAGGCGTTATCAGTGCCTAGAAGCACAGTGAAGTCTATTATTAAGAAGTGGAAGGTATTTGGTACAACACAGACCCTCCCTGGGTCAGGATGTCGCTCCAAACTGGATGAAAGAGCCAGGAGGAAACTGGTCAGAGAGGCTACCAAGAGGCCTACAGCAACTCTGAAGGAGTTGTGTGCATGTGACAACAATATCACAAATTCTCCACAAATGTGGCTTGTACGGGAGGGTTGCAAGAAAAAAGCCACTCCTCAAGAAAGGCCACATGCAGTCACGACTGAGCTTTGCCAAAACACACCTTGAAGATTCTAAGGCCACGTGGAAAAAGGTGTTATGGTCAGATGAATTTTATGGCTAAAATTTAATTATTTGGCCTCAACGCCAAACGATATGTCTGGCGAAAATCCAATACAGCTCACCATCCAAATAACACCATTCCTACAGTAAAGCATGGAGGTGGTAATATCATGTTATGGGGTTGTTTCTCTGCAGCAGGGACTGGAGCACTAGTCAGGATAGAAGGAAAAATGGATGGGGCAAAATACCGTCAAATTCTTGAGGAAAATCTGCTGCTCTCTGCCAGAAAGTTGTCAATGGGAAGAAGATTTACCTTCCAACATGACAATGACCCAAAGCACACAGCAAAACTGACCACAGTGGTTAAAGGCCATGGTGCAGGTTTTTTTTTTTTTTTTTTTTGCCAGTTTTCTAGTTGGTAATAAACATTTAAACAGTTATCCTTTGTATTTTATGTTGTAGGGGATTACAAAAAAGAAATATAATACGGAAAAGTCGGTGATGTGTTAGCATTTACCACTAGCCTAGCGAGGATTCTAATTTCTCCCACAATGCATTGCATGACGTCACATGAGGTACTCGCTGTTGGACAACAGACGAAAGCCCGCGAGTAGTAACTTAGCTAACGGTAGCTAGTGAAAGAGTGACAGTGTCAGATAAGTAAATATATCGAGATAGATAGATAGATAGATAGATAGATAGATAGATAGATAGATAGATAGATAGATAGATAGATAGATAGATAGATAGATAGATAGATAGATAGATAGATATCATAAGCATAACATAGATAGATAGTGAGAGATAGCATAGCATAACAGCTTAGAGAAGAGTAAGCTAGATAATAAGTAGACAAAATGGTTTATTACTGTGTTTGTGGCGGGTGCAAAAACTTTATCAAAACTGGACATGGGGTCCATTGTTTCCCCAAGGACAAAGGGAGCTTCCGAAGCTGGGTGCAATTTGTCAAGATTAGGCGAGCAGATTTTTCAGCTAAGTTAGCTCTGTCGCCGCCTACTCGAGAATATGCAGCGCGCATTTCAAAGAGGAGGATTAATTTACCACGCAGGGGATGCCAAGATGGTCTCACTTAGTTTAAAGAGTGAGAGGATGGCTAAGTTACTTCCTACCGCCGTGCCGTCTGTGAATGCAAACCTCTCTGCTTGCCCTGTCCCGAGGTCGAGAGACACCGTCTGCCGCAAGCGAGATATTGCCACGGTAAGTTCATTCTAACGTTAATGTTTACAAGCTGCGTGTTAGCTAGCTCTGTGTGTATTTTGTATAGCTACCGTGTTCCCTTTGACACAGCCTCCACTACAAGCACGATCACTCTGACATTAGAAGAGCATTTTTCGTGATTCACGAATTTGAGCCAAAACAAAATTGCCCTGAAGTAAATGTCCATATCGTCATGAAAGCTTCATGGCTAGTGTTTGGATCAGTGGTGATGATCATCAAGCGGCTTTCGCAATCGTGTTTGCTTTTTGTGTTAGACTGCTACGGTTCTCTTTCACATTTGACCGTGACCGTGTCGTCAGGGCTGTAGTGGAGGCCAAACGCAGTTTACCCACCGCTGAAATTATGTCAGAAACAGTTTATCCACTTCTCACTTCAGAGTTTAGCTACCTCTCAGTAAATTCACTACCTCGTAGAGTTTATGTAACTTTACCACATGTATTACCACTAGTATTGGTGTAAACATTTAATTGTAACATTCAAATCATCAAATATGTTCTGAATTTCTTTTATGTATTTTTAAAACATTTAGTAGCGCATATCAGGGTCCACTGTACTGTAATCTCCCTGGCAATCTCGTAACATTCTGTTTACTGTTTATGTTTGCTATAATTCATATGCAGGACAATTTCATGTGTTTCCATTAGTGGCAATGATCTTTATACAGTATTATTATTATGTCTGCAGGTTATGCAACATCATTAATGAAGGCGCTTCGGGAAAGCTACACCAATCCACCTGCAGCTCTTCGAGAGGTTAGCGCCAGTTTGTCCTGATGCACCCGCCCCCATCGCCACATCCTTCAAACTGGTTCCTGAGGAGGCCGTCAGCCTCTACCTAACCCGGCAGTCACGCTACAAGAACCTAATTTCACATTATTTTCTTTCCACAGACAAGTCCAATGATTTAGTTGTAAGTATTCATTTAGTGGTGGTTTCCTGCATTCTGCATGTTTTTTTTTTCTTTGTGTGCTGTTGCTTTGGTTTTACTTTGCACAAAATCATTACTTTTTTTCTTAGGCTATTGATTCCCGTGATCCTGCTTATAAATTCCGATTCAGCCATTAGCCTACCTTCGTGATCACGCAAAGAGGTCTGGAGAGGCGGTCCGTTCAGAATTACAACCAACATAAAATATAAGTGTGCATGTACAAATTTGCAGTAATGTTCGGTAAATATAAACTATATATATATATATACACACACACACACAATTCATTTACTTAAATGGGTTAGGGTTATGTGTGTATATATGCATAGGCGTACAAACATACATACATGCATATGCTATGCATATATATTATAAATAATATAATATATACTTCAGGTTACCAGAAGTTAGCTAACTTTAATGAAGAGTTGGTCATGTGAGCTATAGCTAGCTGCAAGTAACCCATTATCTTCCAATAAGCATTAACTAAAACTGGCTACATAAAATATACTGACTAGATTCACGAGAGGTCGGCTAATGTGTGTAAAAGTAAAAAAAATACAGTAATTTCATTATTTTACCAGCGAGCGTACTTCGGAAGCACTGAAAATGAATGGGGTTCAATGCTGGAACTATCAGTGTTTGGAACTATCGGCCGCTCCACGACACGCGTTACTTGCGCATTTTTAAGTTCCTATGGCGGTCTATGGGAGTGTCGCAACTCTCTCTCTCTATGGCTCTGTCTGGACCACACTATTGCAGGCAAAAGAAACAATGTGCAAACGTTTCAGGTCTAGCCCTACATCA